AAATTATTACAGCATCAGGGATTTTTGATAAAAGTGTAAATTAAAAATATTAAAAATACCGAAAGATTGTGGATTATTATATTCAATGTTTTAGTATTAGTATATTTTTAATTATACAAAATAGGCTTAAGTTTATGTATTTAGGTTAGGCGTTTCCGCTTTTATGCAGAATAATTTTGTGGACAAATCAAGTTTTTAAATTTAAATTTAGGAACAAAATAAACTTTGCAACTATGCTATAAACTATGCACGATGTTGGTCGTGCATTAATTGCGCCAATGAGTTCCTTAATTGCGCCAAGCCCTCAAAGGATCCCAAAAAATGTTCCTTTAGTTTCGCCAAGCTCATGCCAGACAGGTAGGGGCGAGTCGCCGGCAGAAGAAATGTCCTTGTTTACGTGTGATCCTAACCTAACCTAACTTAACATAACCTACTCAATTATACAGACAAAGAGGGAACGTATCGGGTGGCTCCCTGAAGTATTTTGCGTAATTCAGGAATCTATTCAGGACTACCTGACTCAGGTCAGTTGGCGCATTTAATACCCGTTCGAACTAGAAAAGTGAGATTGAATAGCTTTGATGTTTATTGGCGTGTTCTTGATTATTTAAAAATTTTCAATCTCAAAAATAGTGATATTGTTATTTATATTGTGCTGTGTACAGTCAGTAACAATTTTTGATGGTGGAACGCCGCAGCAGTGGCAGATGGCTGGGTTGACATATGGTGTTTCGGCCTCGGTCGAACGATGCCTGTTTGTTTTCATGATTGAATCGCTGCCCTCAATGAGTCCATGTGTACACGCACTCTCTCTCTCCCCTGCTACCAACATATTAATTTATTGTCCAATAAGCTGGTCTCTTAGGCGCATATCCCTCAACAAGTGATTACAACCCCCCCCCCCCACACACACTTATTGGCTCAACAATATCGTCCCAAATTGGTGTTGGCACCCTTGTCAGCGACTGTGATTCCCTCTTAGGTGCTAAGAAAAAGTTAGGGGTTAAACAAATAAATCTATAATAAACAATAACATTTTTGTATAGTAATCACAACAACTTTTAACAAAATGAGAAATTTTTGCTTTTTCTTTTGAAATTTGATATTAGTTATTTAATTTTATTACACCACTGGAACGAAAGGTTCATATTTTGTTGCAAAACTATTTACAGTATAAACAGCAAATGTTTGAAAGGTTTTTATATTTTATTTAGGTCGTTTGCATATGCACAGCTATGCATGATTTCGTCTATGATCCAATTGGTTTGTTTTAATTTTTGACTGAAGATACACGTTACTAAGTAAACAAATTGACTAGCATAAACATTGATAAAAATATCTAATCTATTAAATACAAGATATTTTATTCGGTTTAATTCATTCTGATATTAGCGTAAAAATGTAAAATCAATTAAAAACGAAATTAATATCGAGCCAAAAACATTTGCGTAATCTTGTGACTGACTTTCTGTGCTTGTGTTTCCACCTGTTTGTCTGTTTGTGAGAGTGATCGCTAGTTTGTGTAAAGTTTGTCAGTTTGTGTTTGTGTCTAACTCTGTGATTGTAGTTTCACCTGTTTGTCTGTTTGTGAGAGTGATCGCTAGTTTGTGTAAAGTTTGTCAGTTTGTGTTTGTGACTAACTCTGCGATTGTAGTTTCACCTGCTAGTCTGTTTGTGAGAGTGATCGCTAGCCTGTGTGGTGTTTGTCAGTTTGTGTTTGTGACTAACTCTGTGATTGTAGTTTGACCTGTTTGTGAGAGGGATCGCTATTTTGTGTGATATTTGTCAGTTTGTGTTTGTGACTAACTCTGCGATTGTAGTTTCACCTGTTTGTCTGTTTATGACAGTGATCGCTAGTTTGTGTGATATTTGTCAGTTTGTGACTAACTCTGCGATTGTAGTTTCACCTGTTTGTCTGTTTGTGAGAGTGATCACTAGTTTGTGTGATATTTGTCAGTTTGTGTTTGTGACTAACTCTGTGATTGTAGTTTCACCTGTTTGTCTGTTTGTGAGAGTGATCACTAGTTTGTGTGATATTTGTCAGTTTGTGTTTGTGACTAACTCTGTGATTGTAGTTTCACCTGTTTGTCTGTTTATGAGAGTGATCGCTAGTTCGTGTGATATTTGTCAGTTTGTGTTTGTGACTAACTCTGTGATTGTAGTTTGACCTGTTTGTGAGAGGGATCGCTATTTTGTGTGATATTTGTCAGTTTGTGTTTGTGACTAACTCTGCGATTGTAGTTTCACCTGTTTGTCTGTTTATGACAGTGATCGCTAGTTTGTGTGATATTTGTCAGTTTGTGACTAACTCTGCGATTGTAGTTTCACCTGTTTGTCTGTTTGTGAGAGTGATCACTAGTTTGTGTGATATTTGTCAGTTTGTGTTTGTGACTAACTCTGTGATTGTAGTTTCACCTGTTTGTCTGTTTATGAGTGTGATCGCTAGTTTGTGTGATATTTGTCAGTTTGTGTTTGTGACTAACTCTGCGATTGTAGTTTCACCTGTTTGTGAGAGTGATCACTAGTTTGTGTGATATTTGTCAGTTTGTGTTTGTGACTAACTCTGCGATTGTAGTTTCACCTGTTTGTCTGTTTGTGAGAGTGATCACTAGTTTGTGTGATATTTGTCAGTTTGTGTTTGTGACTAACTCTGTGATTGTAGTTTCACCTGTTTGTCTGTTTGTGAGAGTGATCACTAGTTTGTGTGATATTTGTCAGTTTGTGTTTGTGACTAACTCTGTGATTGTAGTTTCACCTGTTTGTCTGTTTGTGAGAGGGATCGCTAGTTTGTGTAAAGTTTGTCAGTTTGTGTTTGTGACTAACTCTGCGATTGTAGTTTGACCTGTTTGTCTGTTTGTGAGAGTGATCGCTAGCCTGTGTGGTGTTTGTCAGTTTGTGTTTGTGACTAACTCTGTGATTATAGTTTCACCTGTTTGTCTGTTTGTGAGAGTGATCACGTGTCCACGCCTCGCCACAATCCTCTCACAGTTTGTCTGTTGTGTCGCACAGCTCTATAATTAGATGATGTGGCCGCGGTGCCTATTGTCAACTGTCACCCTCTCCGCCCCTCATCCCGCACATGACAATCATTCTCCCCTCGATGTGATGCCCTTATTTACACGCAATCCGAGTCTATCGTCCCTCCTCCACAACCAATTAGCTAAACCATTTCGCTCCTTGCCAAACGCACTCGGCTCCAAGTTTTCATTTACTTCTCAAATACATTCCTCGTTCCGCACCCTTTCAAAGAAGGCGATGACGGTTTTGCCTCGACTCAACGACCGGAACGAATCAATCAATCAACATCGACTTAGCGCCCCCCTGATCTCTCAGTCTGTCTACCTCTTAAATCATCGGAAAAGACCAACATTTACTGGAACTGACTGATATTTCCCGCAACGATTTCCACTTTTACTTGTTGGTATAAGTGTCGTTCTTAAATATTCCGTTTACTTAAGTCTATGTATCGACTGAAGCTTGTTTACAGTAATTGCTTAAATTGTTATCCTGTTAATTTTTTACTGAATATTTTAGGAACGTCTCTATTTCTCGTTAACACTTCGTCATCTCTTAAGTTCTCGCTGTAGCACAGTTTGCTTAAAAAAAGATTTGAAAGTTAACCTCATTTAGTAAGTGTCAGCTAACATGTACACAAATTATATTCTTAATAACATATTCTCCGCATTTCAGATGACTATAAACTAATTGAAACTTACTTTTATACGGTGTGAAGTGTATATTAGTATGTTACTCGTATATCTGCTGAGTTCTATTATTTTACTTTTCAACTTTTAATCACCCAGAGCATTTCTATAAATCTTTACAGCTATTTTATAACCTGTTATAAAAATAAAGATACACATATATATGTAGAAAAAAAAAACATTACAATTTTCATGTTTTATATGTACTCTTCCATGTCTCTTTGGTATTATCAGTAGATAAATCCCTTTGTAGTAGCATGTTTGTTATACGTGTAAAATTAAAATAATCAAAATAAATAAAAAAAAGTTTTTACAGTTTTTTATAAACAATATTCTGGAAAAACACATTTTGAACACCTTTTTATACCACTCACAAACGAATATACGATGTGACGAATTGATATTGGCAATTGAATAATTGCAATCCCTTCCAAAGTAATAATCCACCAACATCGAGACTAAAAGTCACTGGGGTGTGAAGTTCTGTTGTATACGTCGCGAGGTTCATTTTCACTTGGATTGGCTCGTTTTGTAGTTACCTGCGAGAGGGTAGATGGTTAGATAGATGGGGGGTAGGCACACGTTACCAGGCTGATAAGAAGGGTAGCGCGGGTTTGCGTGCCTAAGAGCCGATTGAACGACATCCTTATCAGGGAGATAGCAGCAATTGTTATCAAGCGATTCACGTTGGTGTGCTCTGCTCAGTCTTCCGACCCTACAACCCCACAACTTCGCTCAAAACACGTCCCAATTATTCTACACTTGTCTCATCTGCTTTGTGTTGCCACGTATACCAGTTCAAAAGTTAGTAATATCTTTCACTGTAGTTTTCCCGGAAAGATAAATAGATCTTTTGAACGGTGGCTTTTACAAAATCTCCGTTAAATCCTCTACATATCCGTTGCTTTTCGACGTCATTGTTTTGGCAAGGGTTGTACCGTAATATCGAAGACCTAATAAATTATATTGACTTCTGACGGTTATTATACGCAATGGTACATTTCCCCCTTCCGTTTTTGTTACTGTTTTAATATATTCTTTGGCACATTTTTATTTATTTATACACGGTAAACACCATTTTACTGTACATAGTACATTACTTTGTTAACAGATGGCCAAGGTAAAACAATACGTAATGATAACATGTGACCATTAGACCTATCTACACTTTGAATGATAACTAAATTTGAGAAAAAATTATAAATATTGTATCACTGCAAGTTATTTTACGTCAAAGCCTATTCAAACATAATTTTCTCTTTGCCTTAAACTCAACATTCCCCTTTATTGTTACAGAAGGAATGCAGACAGACACGGGCGAGACTCAGGCCAAGGGGGCTGACACCCTCACCTTCTCCATAGCCAAGATCATGGAACCCGACAAGCCTCGGATCTCCTACCAGAACAGTCTTGACTCCGCGTTCAAGAAGTACGTCCCTGTGATCCATCCTCAGAACCTGCTACAATACCCAGTGTTATACTACCATCCGGGGTACCACCACTACCTGCGGAGTCCTCTGGCCACGGGGGTGGTGACCGAGGGCGCTGGCGACTCTGCTGAGGCCGACAACAAGGAGTCTGGGGAAAATCGGACTAATAATCGACATAAAACGTTCACCTGCACTGACTGTGGAAAGGTAACGTTATAGGTTTGCAATGTAAACATTAATTTCAACGCAATCTGTTTTTACTAACGAGATCAATGGCACACATTTGTTTAACGACCAGATATATTTGCACTTAAACGGGAATAGTGTTAAAAAAGTATTTCGGTCCCCGAGGTCCCGGGTTCAAATCCTGCCAAATCACCAATGGATTTTATCTAAATATATTGCCGCAACGGGGATAGTCCAACTCCGCGCGGTGGTCAGATTTAAGACGAGGAAAAGTTTTATAGCCCCTGAAGTATCAAGTCCAACTCCGCGCAGTTGCCTCATTTAATTTCTATGCTACCCATCAATATTTAACTTGTACTTGTTGTGCTCTCGGATGAGATATTATGTGTAAAATACAAAATATTCTATAGGTCGTTATATATATATACATACAGGGTGCTTTTGTTTTACTTGCTTCTTTATTTATGTAAAAACTGCAATAGATAGAAATCTGCATTTTGCGGGAATCGTCTATTGACGTAGGGGCCACAATTGTTGTGAATGTATCGTGAAGTTCCCATTCGCCCCCTTTCCCCCTAACATTAACTTACAATTTTTAAATTGCAAGGTGCCCCTTTTTACATGTGGAAGAATGGCACAAACTATAGAATATTTTGTGTTGTGTTATCTAAGAGATCTCTACGTCAATCCTATCAAAAGTTATGACGGTTCAAAATTTGAATATTTCCTCCCCATTTTTAAGAAAACGCACTTTTTTTAACGGCTGTAGCTAAAAAACGGCAAGAGCTGACGGCAAAGATTCCAAAAACGGCAAAGATTTGAAAGAATCATGGACAGGAATTAAATTTTCTACAAAACTTTTTTTACGGTTTTTTTATCGAACAAGCATTTTTCAAAGGTGTGACTAGCTGGCATGCTTGTTCAATAAAAAAAACGTAAAAAATCCGAGAAATTTTACAAAAGGGGTATCTTGAAATTTAAAATTTTTTAGTTAAGGGTAGGGGGAAAAGGGTGTGAAATTCACATTAAATTCACAACAATTGTGGCCCCGACGTCAATAGACGATTCCCACAAACTGCATATTCATATCTATTGCAGTTTTTACATAAATAAAGAAGCAAGTTAAAAAAAAACACCCTTTATACATATGCCGTGTGTCCCAAATGTAATGTTACACTTGTTGTTCATAGCTACTTTATTCATATGACAGGTTAGGTTAGGTTAGGTTAGATTAGATTAGGTTAGGATAATGATAGGTAAATTCAAATAAAATATAAGTATTCTCTTTTGAACTGGATAACTTTATTTTATTAGTTAGCCTACTGTGGTTTCATACAGTTCTAAATTATGTACATTACATTTATAACAATTTCAAACTTCAAATACAAACTCTCAGCCGTCAGGACTGTCTGTGAGAGCCAAAATTGACCACCGCGCGGATTTGTACAGTCGAATATGCAAAAGCGTACTGCGAAAAAAAGCCCTACACCTCGAATCTTGTGAAATAAGTGTACAGGATCTTTTGTAATCGGCCGTTGAATAAGTCCCCTTTTTTGAGCCCATATTACGCACTAGTCAGTCATGCAGAAGACAATCTATCAGCAATCTGTTAGTTTCGTCATTTTCATGCTCTTGCAGTTTAGCTACTTCTATATCCATTACAGTAATATTGTTTCCAGGTATTCAACGCCCACTACAACCTGACACGGCACATGCCAGTTCACACTGGGGCAAGACCATTCGTCTGTAAAATCTGCGGTAAGGGCTTTCGGCAGGCATCAACGCTCTGTAGACACAAGATCATCCACACGGAGGAGAAACCCCACACATGTACCACGTGCGGCAAGGCCTTTAACCGCAGCTCCACACTCAACACACATGCAAGGATACATGCAGGATATAAGCCATTCACGTGTGAGTACTGCGGCAAAGGATTCCACCAGAAGGGCAACTACAAGAACCATAAGCTGACGCATAGCGGGGAGAAAGCCTACAAGTGCAATGTCTGCAACAAGGTACGAGCGCAATTAAATGCTTCGTATACGGAACAACAAAATACTTTTATATATATACTTTGAAATTTCTAGAGAAAACTGTAGGTATTTAACAGACAAATGTCCTTCATAGAATATTTGTATTTCATTTCCACGGAATATGTTTTCTCATAGAAATACATCTAATACATATAGATATCTCTTAATAGCAGACCGGAGCGTAAAATACTACATATGGAAGCTGCAATAAACTATTCCTCCAAGAATCAAAGATGTTAAAAACATGACATATCTTGAACTCCAAAATCAACTGGCAATGCATCTCAGCATACTTTCCTTTCATCTCATCTCTTTAGGTATCCGAGAAAACTTAAGCTACATTTCATTGCGGTAACCCTTTCATTGTATTTCTGAAAGATTGTGTGTTACAAAAGACATATGTTCTCGGAGATTCAGTAGAAATCATAGATCTTACAATATCATTCAAGTTCTCTATAAACTGTCTAAAGAAGCTTATCTTTATCATGTTTGTGTCTACCAGTTTATTTCTGTTTTAGGCGTTCCACCAAATCTACAACCTGACTTTTCATATGCACACGCACAACGAGAAAAAGCCGTTCACCTGCAGAATCTGTGGGAAGGGATTCTGCCGAAACTTTGACCTCAAGAAACACATGCGGAAGTTACATGACTCCAGCTCTCCGGAGAGTCAGGACCAAGGGCCTTCCTTGCAAAGTCCTGGCAGCTTCCTGGGACCTCTAATGGTGCCGTCCACACCCTACGTGTCTAAGCTCTTGTGACAGCAGATCTTCCTGCATCGCCCCGACACCAGAACTTAGCTGTGCGCTTCATCTGCCAATCGCACTCGCAGTGCTAGTGCTAAAGGCTTGGATTCCATTAGTTTTTTTACATATACGATCACTTAAAATTAGCTTTTAATGTACCAACCGAGACAAATAAAGTGGATTGAGTCTAAAAAAAGTAAAACGTCTAAGAAAGCTACAAGTTCTTCAAACATCGGTGTAACCAAGTCAATAATGGAATTAGATTAGTTCACTTTTCTCACTGGTTAAGCTAATATTAAAACCTGATCATAAGATTATTAAAATATGGGCAGATTAAAATATTTAATTGAACCACTGTCCTCAGAAACCCACTTAGGGCAGCAATGTTAAATTGATTTGTCTTTTGGCCATTTTGATATTGCTTTACAAGTGGCCAAAACAATCTCTCATGATTAATTATTATTGTTACGTGTTTTACACCAAACTGTTCTATCCATTGGTCATCTATTGGCCTTAAAAATATCCTCTGCATATACATACAACGTTAATGTCTCTATTTCATTATCAACCATTTATTTAGACAAACACTTTTTGTTGAAAGAACATTTTGCTGGGATATTAGTATTTCATAATGAATGTTACGTTGAAGTTGGTCCGATCAAAATGTTTTATAACGTGTGACAATAGAAAATTAATTGTGAAATACGACGCACAATACGATGATTTGTGCACTAAAACATAATAGCTAGAGCAAATGAAATTCAATTCATTCAGCACTGTGAATGCGAAGGCTTTGATAATAGAAAAAGATGAAAAAGTGATATAAACAAAAATGAATAAACTTAATCGTGTATCTTAGTGCGGAAAATGACACATCTTTCTACAAGGGTTTACTGCATTTATGAATAAAGTCCATGGTTCCATTGTTTGAAAAAGTCTCTCAGTTTACAAATATGCTCAGTCAAATAACCGTTTACGTAAACAGTCTTTTTGTGACAACATGATAAACAAAATTAAAACAAGAAATGCAAATATGTTTGAAATAATGTGACGGGCATAGATAAAATACGTAAACTATTTAAATTTAAATGACGGATTATTTAGAACATGATACAGTACATTTCTTGTACGGATGCAGTGTATGACTTTTTGACATTCGATCACACACATGTTAGCAGAAAAGACCTGTCCAAAATGAATAATCTTAGAAAATCAATCTTTAACAATCTTGAGCTAAACTATAGAAAACAATTTGCAAAGTCCACACAAGTACAATAAAAATGTTAATGAGAGAAGAGTAAACTGATGTTGCTGTTAAAAACAATACAACATGTTAAAATATAAATTTAGTTGATTTTATTTTTGTTCTGGGACACTACATCTAATTACTGTGTTGTACAGTTTTATGCTGTTGAAATTTCAAAGCCCAATGAAGTTTGGTATTTCGTTATTTGATTAAAAGTAATAAAAGTTACAACATTGATTACTTTCTCTCATGATAATTCATTTTTTGTCTAGACACCTCATAAACTGAACGACTTGGAGGAAAGAAATTGCATTCAACTATCAAACAGTAACCTAAAATCTTTCATGTTTCATTATACGTTCCCGAAGGTTTTTTTCAACCTCTAAGTATGCATATCTAGACTGTAGGCCTAAAGATCCTGTTGGTGTATTCTTTATGTGTGTACAAATCCCTAAAACATCTTCAGTTCGTACTTTCAACCTCGTGTTAGATACATAAATGTCTTTACGGGCCTAAGTGTTGATCAAAGACTATATTGCCCTTATTGGGGAAACAGTTGTAGCTGTGTTTATAAGTATATATGTATTCTTACGCAATATATTTTAAGTATACAATCAAAGGTGTAAAAATACGTTAACAATGTTTCGTTAAGTTTTATTTATATTCGGGATGTTTTGTTGAATAATTTGCATTGGAATGTGTGTTTGTTTTAAATAGTTAAAGGCGTAAGTTGATCGATAATATTTCCATGTATACAATAAATTTGATAAATTTTGTAAAATACTATGACTGAGGAAGCTATCACGAAAATGATCTGAAAAAATTTTTAACATCTACAGTAGGATTTTATAGAATGTGACAAAACCTCCTCGTATTATTTTCTTGAGTAATAGTCTGAGGCATTCTAATTGGTTGATTATGTAAAAGCATTGTGAAACCAAACGTTTGATATTTTTACAGTACAACGTTTGTGTGTTGAATACAAATTAATACAGACTAGCGTTTTATAAAACTACTTCTGCTGTTCAATAATAAAAAATGGAAAGATAATGAGTCTATTGGTAAGAATAATTATCCAGCAATTTTAAAGAACTACTTTGCTAAAATATTTTTTTTAAAGAAATGTAAAAATAAAAAGCGTAAACAACGTTTTCAGCACATAACACTCTCTTCTCAAGCAAAACAACGCATAATGATAAAAGAAATCAATATATATATATATATATATATATATATATATATATATATATGATAATATTATTATATAAAGAATGAATAATGTTAATAAATGTAATCATGTAACATTACAGGTGGTTAGTTTCGTATTATGGACGGTGTTTTGTAATTTTTATTAAACATCTGCTCATGTCTAGCTTCTAATATCCATGAAAAGTTAATGTTTTCAGGGGCTTGCACATTCTTTATTACTATTGGCCTAAATCCTAGATAAACAAAATGTCCTGCTTAAAGTGGCTTAGATACCTGCATTTAAGTAGTCCAATTCGATGCTTATGTTGCAACCAGCTTCAATTTCTTGGAGCCATCTTCAGGCAAGTTGTCACTTCATTTGAAGGTCTTCATAGTTAAAAAAAAGAGAAATATGTAAACATTTATCGCGAACATTGTCTAGAAAATTGTAAAGACATTTAAAGACATCCGGCCGGTACGCGTCGCTCATCTTCTCAGTAACATTGTGTGTGTTTTTTTTATATTTTTAACGTCAGTGCTCAATGTTCAATGCTCGTGTTAAGTGTTTATTCGTTTTTTTTTAAAACTATGACGACCTTCAAATGAAGTGACAGCTTATATCCTTGGAAGCCTGAAGATGACTCCACGGAGTTGAAACTGGTTGCAACATAAGCAACGAATTGGATTAGTTAAATACAGGTATATCTAAATAGGTAATCCATCAATATGAACATTTCCTATTTTATAAGGAAGCTAAATTTATCAACACAAAATTATGAACTCAATAGGACTCAGTAAAGCACCAAGCACTACGCTCTGCAGTATGTAAGAGATAAATACGCCTATGACTGTTATGTATTTGTGTTCATATTTAACTAATTTTATTTTTCTCGATCTTTTAACTGAATATGTACAAAAATGTTTTAAATTATAATGACCATATGGATGATAAATGGTTAGATGAATAAATCAATTTGCATATTTTGTTTTTGTTGTGAAACAACAAATTCTCTTACCATCTCAATGCAGGGACTTTGTATTTATGATGTATTGATTATTCTGTAGTCGTTGATTTAAATATACCAAAGATATTTTTACATTGCGTATGACTTTTACCTAAGACCTATTGCAAGAAACTACAGTACATCTGGATTGACGGGTATATATAATAATACCCTCCTCAGCAGCAAACCTACTGACTAAGCGAATTTCCATTTGCCTGGTCGGATTTCCACTGAAATCCTATGCTATCCTATCCTATATTATAATATGAGTAAAGTTTGAATATACATACATACATACATTTTGTTATATTGTTATTTGTTACTTCGATCTAGGAATCGGCACTAAGAAACACATTTAAAAAACTACGGTATAACAAGGTTTTACGTCAAAAATATCCAGTGGCAAAGCTGGGAAAAATTGAATTTCACTATAATACACAGGGTGTCCCGGAACTCTCTACCAAAGTTTTAGAGCATTGTTCCTGAGTAAGAAACATATCTAAATACCATATTTAAATTGTCCGGAAGTCGTTATTTACTCACACAGCCGCCATTTTTTTACTTGTGTCAAAGTTAAAACGTTTAAAGAGAACAGTTCATAAGTAGTGAAGCGTTAAAAATATGTTCCCCATTACAATCATATTCAAATTTTACTTACACAAAAGGTTAAACATTCTAGCTCCACAGTACCACTATGAGGATTTTGGTATTCTGCTTTTATTGTGACCCAGTGGTTCGGAACCCGTTAAGAGCTACGCCTAACTGCGAAGTGGAATTCTTCATTGGGCTATAATCCTGATAGAAAGCTCAGATCGACAGATAACACGTATTATCGTGGAGGGGCTTAGCCCTTCTCGTTCGTGTCAAAAACAAACCCTCTTGCCCTTCCACCCTCAATGCAAGGGCTATTCAACAACAGAATAAAAGAAACGCGCTGTGCTCAAGTGTTAACAAGACGTATTTAGTGGGCAGGGTACAACTGCATTTACGCAGATTACTTCATATAGAAATACAACTTATAGAGACAAAGGGTATTGAAACAACGGCAGTTAAATCCAATCAAATAAAATATCTTTAGCGACTTTTAACAGTATTCGACAATGTCGTTCGTTCTTATATGTAACAAAAAGGTATTTCAATCTAACACAAGGAAACCTAACAAACAACCAACAACCTATTGTGCAATTCGTTGTGTTGTTGGTTTGATTTACAGAGCTTTTATTCTTAAAAATAAATACTCCCGCCGCAGCAAACCTGCAGACTAAGCGAATTTCCATTTGCCTGATTCGATTTCACTCAAATATCTCCTTAAGACTGTCATATTTGAATAAAATTAGTTTAATAAGTGCTTAGGTTTGCTGCTACAGGAAGGTAATTAAGTGGGGTTTTAGTGAAATGTTAATAGTTTAGTATAAAAGATGTTATTCCAAAATACAAATTTTCAAACTACATTTAGAAGTTTAGAGCTGCACGAACTTCCATCATATTCCAATACCACATGGTCAATAAAGACGTCTTCCAGTTTGGAGAAGCCTAGGTATATTATATTTTGTTTCCAGGCAGCTAGGGACAATAGTGCACGAAAAAGAACTGATGAATTTGATCACTGTAAAATTAAAAAATCTCAAAGTATTTCTGAACTCTGAATATTATCCATATATCGATTTAAATCTCGACTTTGAAAATGGAGATGTCTCTAAAGCTTATGAGATGTTTATGAGGTTTAGAGAGACTTACTATAATACTATCCCAGATCCTATGATTAGTAGGGCTGAGTTTATGAAGAAATATCCACTAATTGTGATAGATTGTTCTAGACAGAACGAAACAGTGAAGGAAGGAATTGTTGATATTAAATTAGAGATTGAAACTGCAGAAAATGTACCAGCAAATACATCTGCATATTGTTTGATAATACATGATAAAGTGTTTGAGTACAATCCTTTTGACAAATGAGATAAATAAAATGTAAATAAAAGATGAAAAACATTCAACAAGAATTGGTT